TTTCTTTCTTTCTTTTTCTTTCTTATCAGTTGGTTATCATAAAGTTGATTTTTCTTCATTCATTAACCTCCCACTTTCTAGCCCTGCAGGTCATGGCTCAAGAACTGTACTTTGTTCTTCCTAGAGGACAAGGTGAAGATGAGACAGTCGTTCCCCATGCCTACCCATTTGTTGAAGTTTAAAATTATAGCAGTATATTAAATTCATAATAACATACTGTAATAAAGCCCCAGATTGTCCTTGCAGGTGCAGACCAGAGTTCTTAGCGTTTTAATAAATGGCATCTAATCTTGCAGAGACTGAGGTGGAGGTGAGCGCACTCGTGTGGTGCCTGTCACCTGCTCTAGCCTAAGTGCCTTTGCTGTTGTGGGAATGAGAACTTGGACAGCAACAAGGCAGAGTAGCTGGGATTTTTGAATCTCTGTTCCTTGTTCTCTTCAGATGTGTGTATGATCTAAAATTCTGTGTGGGCTGATGAGTTATTCCTTGCATTTATGTGCCGGAGTTCCTGAGTAGGAAATTTTTGTGGATTCTGTGGTAAGACCCAGTCAGTGCCATCAAAACGGGAAAAGCCAATCTTAACAAATTTCATCAAATGTCTACATCAGTCTTCACATTACCCCTCAGATAGGTGACCATATTTATTCAGAATGGAGTGCTTTGGTATGGTCTGCCCAGAACCAGAAAACAGAGGTCGGTCCAGTGGAAAGCCCTCAGAGGCAAGTGGGCCAGTTACAAGAGGGAAGAACCCAAGTTCCCAAATATTTAAATAAATAGAATTATGAAGGTTATATTATCAGAGGTAACTTCCTGAGAAAACAGTAGTAATCTTTCATGGTTTCATAGCTACCGGAATATAAAGTACAAAGGGTGATGTTTTCATTGTAATCTGCTTTTGCTTTATCGTATTTGTTAAGATCTTGTATTTTCCGGATGACCAGGATCAGTTAACATGATGAGGGAGCCTTCCTCTGGCCTCTTCCCTGTTTCTTTGAAACCATTTTATCCACAGGTCTCTTTGACATAATAGTATCTCATTGGAAATACACATATGCTAGTCAGCACGGGCATCTTTCAGAGAACATTTATCTCGCATATTATAGTTAGACTATATAAAAAATAGATTCAACCAGATTGAAAATTTGAAAGTTATTTAGAGGCTGAGAGAACAAGTAAGGGGTCAAGACATTGGTGCGTGCTCTCTTTGAAACTTCCCCTCAAGGAGCTTCTCAGACCTTACTTCTCCTGTTAGGATTTCACCTTTTTTTCTCTTGTTGTCCACGCTATTTATTTATAGTCTCTCCAGGGAAGAACTCCTGGCCATTATTTAATGTTAATCTAGTCATTCCCTTTTAACTTAGAGCCAAATGCAAACTTTTGTCCTCTCCCACCTGGGATTGGCCCCGTGTCTTTAATGTGGTGAGGGGGCAGCCTCACGTGAGGGCCTTCCTTGGCCGGGTAGCTCTCGGTGACCAACGTGCCCCCGCTGACGTGTGACATGACCTGGTCTGTCCTGGGGAGGGGCCCCTAAGTTCATGAATTCGTGCTCTCGCAAGGGTAGGTGGGCGCGGGCTTGTTGTTCCACTTACCTCCTTTCTTTAACGAAAAAAGAGGCGGAAGTATATGGCTCTGGGCTGAGTGGGCCCACTCTCGTGTGGCCAGGAAGGGTGACCAGTCTTCCCGTACGTGTACCTTCCTTGCGCCGTGAGCTAGTTGTCAGAGGAGGTGCTTGCTTTTGGGAACCAGGTGTAGGGGCAACGGTGCCTTTGGGGCAGAGGGAAGGTGGTGCCTTTGTTACTAATCAGTGAAGGAAGGGGGTGGCTTCCTAGGTGGCTTTCAGAGCAGCAAAATCTAACACAGAATAGAAGTTAGTGAGAAAAACCAGAAATGGGACTTAGCTTTCCCCTAATTCCTTTCTTTAAACATGGTATTTGATCGGGAAAACAGTGTACTTGTCCTTATATTATGAGATTGAACTCGTTGGGGGTGGGTTGGGCCAGTGTCTGGTGAATAATGGAAATAGAGTCCCAGGCAGAAAGGGAAACGTGTGGCCTCCATGACTGCGCATGCCTGGGGGATAGATGGTGTAAATCTAGGAAGCCAACTCTCCTTACCTTCTTCAGGAGGGGCCTCGTGTCATCAAGTTCCTTCTGACCCTTCAGGCAGAGCAAAAGCATCTTTTTTGGCTTTAGGTTTTACTGTATTTGGATCAGAAATGAGTGAAGTGATGATGAACATCAATGGTGAGATGCTGAAAGTAGCCTCTGTCACTAGGGCATGTGCTTCAGACACGAGCACCACCTGCTGCTCGGGCAGGTTGACCTGGGTCGAGGGCGCTCTGGGATCCACACAACCAGGTCCTGACTGAGAGCTGGTCCCACCATTTAGTGCCCAAGCCCAGTGGTTTCGCTAAACCTGCAGAGAGCTGCTTGTCTGTTGACATGTCTCTAGTTTCCTCAAGAGACGTGGCCTCTATATGCTTTCTCTTAAAAGAGATGAAAAAGCATTTCCGAAGCTTCCTTGAACTTTTTGGAAGAAAGAACAAAATTTGGTGTTGACCCTCTGGTTTGATTCAGATCCTCATTACATAGAGTTCTTTTATACCAGGAGAAAATGTTGGTAACTTGGGGGCCAGCCTTCGTGAAGTGCTTAGTATGTCATCTGTTGTATCCTAGGCATTTGAGCTGGCCACAGGAGATTATTTGTTTGAACCACATTCTGGGGAAGACTATTCCAGAGATGAAGGTGAGTATTGCTGGCTGCAGAATACTTCAGTCTGGGGCTCTTAAGAATGCTGAACTTGTAGAGTGATGCATTTTGTACCCAAAATAGAGCTGTTTTGGCTGTCAAACACCAAATTTAGATGCCTGTCATTTGAGCTTAGAGCCTTCTCAGTGGCAGTAAATGGGCATAGCCTGTAGGCATGGGCTCTGCAGAGAGCCGACAGGGCCAGAACCCACCTCTCTTTCATGCTTCTCAGCAGCCAGAGCCCAGCTGGCCAGGAGAGGACAGACTGTACAAATTCCAAAGTCTCCATGGGCCTTTTGTCTACCGATCTGCCCATTTCTCTGTCCTGTTTGGGAGCTTAATTGCAAACCTAGGAATTCTGACTTGAATTCCATCTGTAAACCTGATCATCTCCATGCTTTATTTGCTGGCAGTACTGGGGTGAGCAGGCACCAGCCACTGTTAGCACTCTGGGCCGTGCCTGAGGCCTGCTGTCCCAGAGTTCTGCATGAATGTGCTGCAGACATTGTTGATTTGAATCTGTTTCTGGTTTTTTACTAATTTAAATTTTCCCCTCCTTTTTTTTATCCCATCCTTCCCTTTGCCCCTCCCATTCCCATATCCTTTTTTTTCTCTTCATAGACCACATAGCCCACATCATAGAGCTGCTAGGCAGTATCCCAAGGCACTTTGCTCTGTCTGGAAAATATTCTCGGGAATTCTTCAATCGCAGAGGTAGTACCTCTTCTTTTTGAAAAGCGCCACGATGCAGACAGAAATGGAATAGCAGCTGCTGATTGTAGCACTAATGGTGACAAAGGCATTTCTCCTAAATTCAAAAAGCAACCCAACAGAATTGCTGTGCAGTTTTAAAGTTCAGCAGGGGAGGCAGCATTCGGCCCTGTGTGCTTGGTCACCCTGCGTCCAACCACCTGGATGCCCTGAGTCGGCTGCGTGGGCCAGGCCTGTGCTTTTGATCATTCAGGTTGCGCTCTGTTTCTGTCTGCGCGGGCGGTGGCGGTGTCTGCATGCAGTGTACTGATTAAACTGTCGTGTGTTTCTGTTTTGCTGGCAATGTTTCCCAACGCAGATCACATAGCATTGATCATTGAACTGCTGGGGAAAGTCCCTCGAAAATACGCTATGTTGGGGAAATACTCCAAGGAGTTTTTCACCAGAAAAGGTAACGGTATTTATGCAACACTAATTCTCAACGTAATCCTCTCCAGAAAGGAGAATGGTGCATTTGCCTTTGGACAGTGGGACGGAATCTGGACTTTCACAGTTGGAGAGTTCTGCTGAAGAAAATTCTCAAGAAATAAATTTGAACCGTCTGATCCCTTGAAGTAATTAGTACTTTTGTAAGAGAACCTTCCCGAGAGTCTTGCCTCTCCTACGCTGCGCCCGTATTCATAGAAGGGAGGCTAAGTGCCGTGGCGGCTGGGGACCGCGCAGGTTTGCTTCCCACCCTCTGTGTTGCATTGTGGGGCCAGGTGGCCAGGAGACTGGACCTGTTGGGCTGTCTGCCGGTGCCCTCTTTGATCCATCCCTCTGTGTGCGGTGGGCGTAGACCTGTGGCATTCTGAGGGCCTCCCATTCTTATGAATCGGTGATTTTGATCATCGTGTGTCATGATCCAGAACACTGGTTTCTTTGTCCTGTGTCTTTCCCAGTTAGTGGTCAATTTTTTAAAACACTTGAAAGCCCCAGAGTGTTGTTGTTTTTTGTTTGTTTGTTTGTTTCGACTCCTTCCCCGGTGGTATGTTCTATTTTGTTATGTGCAGAGTGGGTGTCTTTAATTTGTTTTTCCAGCTGAGAATTTTTTTTAGGAAGTTTGGGGGTTTGTAGCAGTCTTTAAAAAAGGAATTCTAAAGTTGATGTGAGCAGAACATGGACCTTCTAGAAATTTCTGAACACTCCATGTAGTCTTTTCTTCCCTGCTTTACCCAAATTTAGAGAACCAACGTGACTTTTTATTTTCCTGTGAGATTAGGAGTACTTGTAGAATAATAATCCTTATTATACACTTTGGTGATGTTCAGCTAATCCGTCCTTGTTTTATCCCTTAAGTTACACGTCCTGGTTAAATGTTTGTGGTCAAGGACTAGCCGTGCTGGGGACAGGAGTTTCCTGCTCCAGTCCTTCTGATATCATCCAGTATGCAACTTGGGAAATTTGTCGCAAGGTGCAATAGTTTTCTTATTTATCATGGGGGGGAGGGCGGGGAATGACTCAAGAAGTCTGTTCTCCACATGACCGTTCGCTGTGCTGCTGCCTGCCTTTCCTCTGCAACAGGAGTGGCTGGACTCTGTGCTCTGTGCTCATTGTCTGTGGCTGGGAACCACCTGCATAGTGGAAAAGAGGAAGAGAGGGGCTGTGAGTAATGAGAAAATGAAGTCATACAGGTTATCTGAAGGTGCCAAACTTTGGTTTCCTTGTGGACACAGCTGCTCTGAATTGTTCCTGCCTGTGAAGCTTTGCCGGGGGTCCGAGCTGGGAGCCGGCACGGTCCCAGTGGGCATGGAACCCTCTCCTCTCTCCAACTAGCAGGATTTCAGAGGACAGACTGATGAGTGATGCATTCTGAAGTGATGTGGGATGAATGCTCGGTTTCAGCTTGAGCTCCCTGACCTTTGACCCTTCAGGGATGGAAGGTAGCTTCCTGGGGATAATTTACAGTCATTGTACCCATATCCTCCCCACCCCTATTTAAATTTTTATTTTAACTTAAAGTGCTTGCACATGACCTGACCTAGCCACTCACTCATGTGCTTTATGACTGAGGGAGAGTGGGGTCCATTCTGAAGAACTTGTTTGAAGATTGACTTGAAGAGTTACATTTGGCATCCCTCATAGAGGTAGCTCGAAACCATTTTGATGGGTATTCCTGTGGCAGCTAGAGTCTTGTTTTCCTTCCTTTGGATATAGGAGAAAACTTAAGATTAGAAAAGAAATCTTACAGATTGGGAGCTGAGTCTTGGGGTCTTTCCTGGTGTTTATGTATCATATCTGTGAAATCAAAAGGGATTTAGAAATCACTGGAGTAACACTATGATGAGTGAAGACCTATTATGAAAATAGATTTCATTATCTCCCATAGGATGAAGGGAATGATTTGTGCATACAAGATATATTTTGGCTTGTGTCCTAAGTAATGTGTTCAGATACACTTGAGAAATAATGGCATCTTAAAAGAGTACTTAAAAGTATTCATTTGAATTATTTTCTGAAACAATTTTGTGCCAGAACTAATAAAGGCAAAATTGAAAAATGGTATCACATTTTTAAAGCAGTTAGGGACTGAGAGGGAAGGAACATGTGTTTTTCTGCTTTTTGTCTGCTGCAGATTTCACTCGCAGCGAGAGGCCAGATAGGAAGCAGTGTCTGTGCTGAATCCCAGAATCAGTGCAGCTTAGTGAAGTTATTTTTTTGTTTGTTTAAAATTCAGTGTAAAGTGATGATTACTAGTTTCAGTCACTTGGGGGGCAGGGACTCACATTTAGTTAGCTGGCAGTCCCTTTAGATGTGGCCATTGGCCACCAGAGATCACTGAGGAGAATCTGCTTCACGGGAGTGCCAGGATGTGGTGCAGTCGGAGTAAACACCCCTCCGGGTCTCGCCCTGTCTTGTGTTGAAATCACATAGGGAGAGGCCCGGGGCCTTGGAAAGGTGCTTTTAAAGTCATGAATGGAGCCCTTAGGAGCAGGCTTAATGATCTTTTTAAAAAAATAAGTATTTTTACATCATTTTGTGCCTTTTTTCCATCTCAGTGGTTTAATCCTCGTTTTAAAAGGACCCACAGTGTCCCTGGCCCCTTCTGCCATCTCCCCCCTCACTGAGAAGTCCTCCGCTGGCGAGAGGGGCCCTCACCAGGGGCCCTGACACTCTTATCTTGACCTTGCCACCCGCAGAACTGTGTGAAACAAATTTCTGTCATTTATAATCCACGTGTATTTTTGGGGAAGTAGCCTGGATGAAGTAATACTTGTCCCAGGAAGTATATAGTCGCCCAGAAGACTCCAAGCCGGGGTGGTGGGAAAGCAGCATAGCCTAGGGCCCACCAGCTGGCCACCGCATGCGCCCGCTGCCATCCCTGTGGGCGTGGGTGTGTGTGCGTGTGACTGGAAGCCCCAGAAGAGTTTACTTTTTAAGGGCTGATTCTAGATGACAGTCTAGTGTGCTGAGACATATGTGATAGTGTGTCCAACCAAAGACCAAAATTTAAAAGATTCAAGCAGTGTTCTTCTGTGCAGTCACAGAACTATAGATGCAGCGTAAAGTGCACATTTCCCCTGTGACAAGGGCGGTGCTGTGCTGAGTGAGCCCAGGAGAGCAGTGAGAAACTTGCCTAAGACAGGTGGCGAACCCAAGAGCATGGTGTTAAAGAAATATACCTCAGAAAATGAAAAATACAGACATTTCGTAGTCTTGATTTTTAATAGCTGAGATGAAACTTGTTAGCATGAATTGTGAACATGTGTACAGCATTACCATAATGTCAACAGGTTCCCTTTTTTTTTTTTTTTTTTCCTATGAAAGATAAAGTGCTTCAGTGGACTTTTGACCCCCCCTACTGGTTGGACACTGTTCCAACTGGGCTTTGTTTTAAAAACTCCTCAGTCATTGCAGTTTTCTAGGTGTGTACATAGGCAGATGAAGCCAGATGCGAAGGTGTGGGCGTCAGAGCAGTTTATGAACTCGAGTTGTCTGGGGCGGAGTGAGGCTGGTGCGGGGAGGGCTTGCGCGGAGTAGGTTTCTCATGTCCAGGTGGCCCCGGGGGAGAGTCGGCCGGGGACTGACCGCCACAGGAGCTTGACTCTGGAAATTGCTCAAAGAGCTTCCTCACACCAGTGAGACTTAAAACATTTAAAACATAGGCTACTTCAACTAGTTTCTGCTTGAATTTTAATTCTGAGTTATAGAAGAACTGTTCTTTTGTTTTGCTTTTCTTTGCTGTGATGAGCTAGCTTGCCTTCAAATGCCGGGCTCTGTGGGAGCCAGAGTCTTGTCAGTTGTTCTTTCCTGGAGCTTGGGTTAGGGATTGATAACTACAGTAGGAGTGGTTAAGTCTAAAAACATTAGCATGCCTTTGCTTTGGATGGAAACAGTTGCAAGATAGAAGTAGGGAACACAGTGTTCTACTTTGCCTGAGTTGGTCCTAGAAATGCCCATTGTTCAGGGGTAATTGCCACTGGCGCTCTCACTTAACTCCTACTTGAGTCCCCTGTTTGGAGGGGTCTCCAGCCAGGTCTGTGGTGCAAGATGGGAACAATTAGGGCAGTGAAGAGCTGCTGGCAGAGGGAGATCGGAGTGACACTCAAAACAGCAGAGACGACTTTTTGGAAAGTGACATACCACAGGTAACAGTTGATAATAGCTAATCATATTAGTCATTTAATTTTTCACTTGACATGTTTCACATGCTGTACACAAAGGAGTGAAATCACTGCTAATGTCGGTTCAAGTAAATTCTTTTGTGGTTCACTCCGTTTATCTCTCGTTATTAATTAGCAGGTAATATTATTGTTGCATGTGTTGACACAAAATTGGAATTCTTTGAAAGTGACTGATTGTTTTGGTTCATGTTTTGTACCCAACTTTTTAATAACAGATATACTATTTTACAATCTACATGCTATACAATGTGCCCTTTTGCAAGTGTACAATTCTTTAGCTTTCAGTAGATTCAGTAATAAAACCATTGCCACTATCTAAATTTAGAACATTTTCATTATCTCAAAAAGAAGTCATCTGTGGCTTTTTCAACCTTTGGCCCCCAGCACCCATTAATCTCCTTTCAGTATCTATGAATTTACATCTTCGGCATTTTTTATAAAAAATGAATCAGTATAATTGTGGGCTTTGGCTTGGCTTTTTACATTTCTGTTTTCAGGCTTCCACTCATGTGGTCATATTAATCAGCGCTCAGTTTTTTGTGTGTATGGATATCCAGCATTTGGTTTATCCATTCATTAGTCGATGTTTGGGTTGCTTCACTTTTTGGCTGTTACACATAAATGCAGCTGTGAACATTAATGTACAGTTTTGTTTTGTTTTTTAATGGGTGAACCTGTGTTTGCATAGAGTGAATGGTGAATACACATGTGTGATAGTTAAATAGCAAAAGTTTTTAATTTTGCTGAAGTCCAGTTTATTTCCTTTTTCTTTTTTGCTATTTTGTTTTTTTTTTTTTTTAAAGATTTATTTATCTATGCATACAGAACTGTGTTACAGGCCAGAAGCGCAGGGGCGGTGAGAAGATTCACCAGAGACAGAGTGGGGAGCAGAACAGGCAGATCGACAAAGTACACTGCTGAGGGGAGCAGCGGGCGGGTCAGGAGAGGTCTGCCACACCATGTGGGTCAGCTCCTGGTCTGGGGATCGAACTCATGCTGAAGTGGCTTTTTAGTGTCTTAGTGCTGTGCTTTAACCCACTGTGCCACCAGGGAGGGTCCTATTTTGTGCTTTTGATGACATCTCAGAAACCATTACCTATGTCAAGATCATGAAGATTCAGTCTTCTGTCTCCTTTGCAGTATTTTGTGACGTTTACCTCTTATATTTAGACCTATGACCCATTTTGAGTTAATTTTTGTGAGATTCAAATTTTGAACTCAGAAGTTTACCTCTGTCTACGTTTTCTACCCATCCAGGAATTTCTGGTTTGATTGTTTTTATTTATATAGGAATTTCTGGTCTTGCGTTTTACAGCATTTATTGATAGCTGTATTTATGCTGTTGAAATGTATCCCAACCTATATTGCTTAGTTTCTTTTCTAGTTATTAGTGTTCCCTAAAATACAGCATCAGGATTTGTTTTCATGGTCTTCCTAATGTCATTAAAATTCATGTGCTGGTGTATTTAATTCTGGAATATGAAGGACAAAATATTTTTGCAATGAACAAAATAATATATTTGCATTCATATATCACTTAAAAGACAGCTGTTTATAAGACAGCACTTCTTATCATTGAATTGAACTTAAGAATGTGTACATATAATCTTAGTGCCTGCTATTTCCTCCTTTTGCTGTTGTAAGATTCTCCATCTATTATAGTAGGGTGTTACGTATTCAGTATCTGTTGGAGCTTGAGGATTATTTTGCATATTGGTGCTTTTCCTGTAATAACAGCATGTTTGCATAAGTTAGGGGTTTTGGTTTTTGTTTTTTGTTATTTCCACACAGTTTTTGTACATTATATACTTCATCACAAGGAGGTTAGATACTTTAGACTGTTGCTAACAATGTTTTTTAAATCAATTTCTAGCTTTAGTTAGGAATGATAATTTTTCATAGCCTTCCAGCTTTGTATTTTTCTCAATATTATATGGAGTTTAAAACACATTTCTTTTTTTCATGAAATGTTGTACTCAATCCAGTGCCTTTTAATTAAAACCAGCACTCCCCACAACCAGCACCTTTGTTCTGAGCAGTGTTCTGAGCAGTGCATTCATTCACAGACAGAAGAGTTGTTCCAACTCAAAAAAAGAGGAGTGTCAGTAAAGCCCTCTCCCCTTCCAAGAGAACTTTGTTATAGCATGCTGTCGGAGGTCAGGCTTCATACTTGATTCTTACCTTTTCTCTGGTGAGATTCGCAGTCCCTTTGACAATCGACAGAGCTCCATTATAGAAAATGCATAGAAAGAGAAAACAATAACAAAAATGTGTTTGGAGAACTTTATGGGCACTTTGAAAGCAACTGTGGTCAGATCCCAAATATGGTTTTGATTTTTGTTACTGCATATCATTAACCATTGTGTTGTTAGGTAATATTGAAGCTTATCAGTTGGCTGTACCGTGGTGGTTTATTTTCACCACCATTCTCCTGTTATTGCACATTTGTGACTTTGCAAGTATAAATAATCTTGCAGTAAGAATATATTGGGGAAATGGAGTGATGGGTTGGTTTTCTTAAACTGGGTTGGTTTTCTTAAACTGGAATTTTTTGTGTCACATGGGTGCCCCGTTGCTTATTCGTTCCTGTGGAACGAATTTTCTTCCACGGGGGGCTCTCTTTCTCCTGGGAGCAGGCAGGTCCACTTCTCTTGGGAGGCACACCTGGCTGGTCTGCGCTCAGGAAGCTGTGCGTAACTGTTTGTTCACGTCGGAGCCAGAAGTGCCGGCTGCATGCTAGCCCCTTGAACAAGCAGTGTTCTCAAGACTGGTTCGTTCAGGATCCGTGACCATCAGTCTGAGCACTCTGTTTTGTAAGAGTGCGCAGATGAAACAGTATAGGCCAAATGAGATCATTTCTCCTTTTGTTATAATTTTCTGTGGATGACATAAAAAAAGGGGGAAAGGTGCGCCATCTAAATTGAGTGGAATAAATAGGTGGGATTTTGTAAGCATAGAACTGTTAATGCAGATCGTGAAAAAACTCAACCTTCTTAGATGTCAGCAGGGGAAGGAGAGAGGGAATTGTCCTGTGCTGTGTGCTCCCCTTGCCTGGGCCCACGCACATGTGGGGGTGGGGTGCAGTACACAGCTAAGCTTTCTGTGGGAGCTGCTCAGCAGGACACATTGAGTGCACCCCGCGAGGCACCTCTGTGGACAAGGCCAGGGCAACCTTGGAAAGTTCTGACACACAGAGGAGTTACTCTTAATGAATGTTATCCTGACCTTTTGGCAATTTGACTTTAAAATAATTTTTCCACTATTGCAGTTCACAGACTATTACATTTGCAGACCACTAGCTTATTGGTCATTGTGCAGTGTATGTCAGGGCTGCTGGAACTCGCTGATGTTGTACTTCATTTATCTCATTTTTGAAAAGCAGAAGCTTTATGTTTACAAATTGATGCCGGTATGTAGGTTTTACCACCAATGTGTCCATGTCGGTGCTGAGCTGCCAAATTGTCATTTACTATACCTATTAGTGGCTATTTAAATATAACCAAACTTAAAACTTCACTGCCTGGGTCACACTCAGCATATTTCAAGTGCCCAGTAGCCACAGGGAGTGGACAGTCACCATACTGGGGAGTGCGGGTGAATGTCTCTGCCGTCACAGAAGGTTCTCTTGGGTAGCACTGCTCTGGAGGGAGGGTCTCCCTTTTCTTTGCATGGTAACCAGGAAATATGCTTAAGGAATTAGTATCTGAAGGTGTTTTCTAAACAAACATGTAAAGGACCCCAAATTAAAATGAATGCCTCTCTCTGCTTTGCGAGTAAAAACCTCCAGGCTGGACTCAGGTGCTTGCTGCTGTTGAAAGAAGCCTTTAAATTTACACCTTTCGTATTCTCTACACTTACTTGGAATTGGATGCAGTCCTGTACATTCATTGATTCCTGCTTGAGGGGAGAAGCTGGTGGCCTTTGCTGTTGCTGAACAGATAACCTTATCTGCTCCACTGAAAAAGAACCTGGCTGGCCCAACGCCAGGACATGCAGACTTGGAGCTCTGTTGATGTTGTCTGTTTTCCCTGTAGGAGAACTGCGGCACATCACCAAGCTGAAGCCCTGGAGCCTCTTTGATGTACTCGTGGAAAAGTATGGTTGGCCTCACGAAGATGCTGCACAGTTTACAGATTTCCTGATCCCGATGTTAGAAATGGTCCCCGAGAAACGAGCCTCCGCTGGTGAATGCCTTCGGCATCCTTGGTTGAATTCTTAGCAGATTCTACAAATATAGCATTCTGAGCTAGCAAATGTTTCCCAGTACATTGGACCTAAACGGTGACTCTCACTCTATAACAGGATTACAAGTGAGCTGACTTCATCCTCAGACCTTTATTTTGCTTTGAGGTACTGTTGTTTGACATTTTGCTTCTTGTGCACTGTGATCCTGGGGAAGGGTTAGTCTTCTGTCTTCAGCTTAGTAGTTTACTGACCCACTTTCTTCTGGAAACAATAACATGTCTCTAAGCATTGTTTCTTGTGTTGTGTGACATTCAAATGTCAGTTTTTTTGAACGAAAAATACTTCCCCCGTTGTGTTTTGGCAGGTTTTGTAACTATTTATGAAGAAATATTTTAGCTGAGTACTATATAATTTACAATCTTAAGAAATTATCAAGTTGGAACCAAGAAATAGCAAGGAAATGTACAATTTTATCTTCTGGTAAAGGGACATCATTCCTGTATTATAGTATATGTAAATGTACCCTGTAAATGTTAATTTCCATTAAATATGGGATGGGGACTCAAGTTACAGAAAAGCTACTAAGTCTTGAGTGCTCTATAGGCTAAGTTGCATGTAGCGGATTTAACTGCTCCAAGGAGCTGTGCACACTTTTCATTCCATAACAGTTCTTTTACATTGAATTTTAAAACAAAGTGGCTCTGGGTTTATATAGGATGTTATTCCCGATAGGGCAATTGAAAAGAAGACATGCTTCTCATTCTAAAATACATATTCTAGTTTAGCACTCTCATTCGTATTTTTGCATATTTTTAAAAGTAATTTTAAAGAAAAAGCAATTTCCCTTTAAAAATGTGATGGGTGGGTATCATGTGGTGTTGCCTCTTCCAAGCACTGTACGGTAAACTACACAGATTAAATTGGGTAAGACAAACATGTTAAGTGTGTGGAATGAAAAAAATACATATATTTTTTGGAAAAGCTTGCTTGTGTCTGTCTCAAACCAAGGTACAGTATCTGTAGTTTACAATGCAGTGGGAAGATTACTGACATCTCCGAGGTAACAGTGATTGTATTCATTCCACAGGCAATTTATATGTGGTTCTAACAAATTATACTAGCTTTCTGTCTGTTCATGACTTTCCCTTTACAGGTTGCACACAATTTTGGTTATGCATTTTCTTTAAATAGTAGACTACAGGATACAAACCATAGTAGGCAATACAATTTTAACTGTAATGTACAGAGAGGTATATTTAGCTTCTCTTAGAAGTCAGTGGATTGAATGTCAGGTTGTTTTTTTTTAAGTTTTACATTAAGGTGCCTCATTTCTCTTGACTTTGTCCATTAACCTTTATCCATATGCCTTTGCAATAACTAGATTGTGAAAAGATATCAAGTGTTGTAACAATAATCCATTGTTTGAGGTGCTTGCAGTTGTCTTAAAAATTAAAGTGTTTTGGTTTTTTTTCCCCAGAGAATGCCTTGGTCATTGGCCTGTATTTGAAGTGTAGAATCAACAAATAGCTTTTTAGTATAGTGTAACCCCAAACTAAAGAACTATCAACAGTCCTGTTGCAGGAAATGGAGTTGTATGACACTCATTAAGGTTTATTACAAGGAAATCATTCTTCGGTTTTTGGGAGTAGACTATGGACTTAGAGTAGATGCTATGTTTTAGATTAATTTGCTAGATTTTAAGTGATCCTTTGTAATGTACATTTCACCAGCAACATAATTTAGTTTGTGCATTGCAAGTTTTCTTTTTTCACAATATTCATTGTGAGGGAACAAGACAAACAACTTTAGTAGTTAGCATTCCATCACATAATGCTGAGTGGAATGTTCCACTTAGTCATGTGTGAGATCCGCATATTAAGTTTTTCTAATGAAGCTGTACCTTACACTGTGGATTCTACAGCAGGTGACTGTAGACCGGTGATGCAGTCCACAGTTTTCATAGGAATCATTCTTGTAAGAGTCACAAAGTACATTTATGTCTTCCCATGTCTCTTAAGAATTTTTTCAGGGATATACTGCACTTGAATAAAATTAGCCTCATGCGGTTTTGGCTCGTGTTAGAAATAAACTTGACTGTTATAAAGTTTAATGGTCTCTCCCTTATGATAAAAGAGCCTGTGTCATTTATAATGTGGAAACGATTGCTCTGGAAGGTTGTCTAATTTGTATTACAGATAAGTGTTTTTTTTTTTTTTTTTAGCAGATTCTTGTTGTCATGATGATGATGAATGCCTGTCACTTAAAGCAAAACCACTGGCTAGGCAATACACTGTAGTCAGCCTAGTGACTGTAGTTGAATGTACTGTCTTTTCTTTTTCCTAGTCTAGTTGGAGTCTTCAGGAAAATGACAAGCAGTGGATCATGTTATATGATTATAGCAGATTGAGAAGCTGGCTGTCTAGAAGTTAGAACTGCCCACAGGCGGAGAAAAAGTGGATATAGGAGTTTGAAAAAAAGCATAACCCTTTTAGAACACGGTAACTAGTGAACAGGATAAACCCTTTCTGCTTGAGTAGAGAACTGTCAATACTGTTTCTACTGGTTGATAAAAATCTTATTTTCTTTTTAAAATGACTTTAAATCAAATTTTGGTATAGGTATGCAACTTACACAAAAACTTATGTAAATGTATACATTATGTAGCAAGCAAATTTAAAATGAGAACTTAAATGCCTAGAAAAGATAGACTTTAAAGTAGGTAAATACTGACACTTGGCTATACTAGTTAATTCTAGTCTGTGTTTGATGAAATTGTTAAAGAATGGATAATATAAAGCCATCTTTTCTTGGCCAACTGTTTTTTCAGTGAATATTGTAAGTGAAGTTGTCCAGGATGGCAAAGTTGACTTAAGTTCTTTTAAAACTTGAAGCTGTTCAAGATTGAGGCCTAAGTGCAGCTCTGGTAATGTACCACCATTAACTGATTTTTTTTCTTTGGGGAAAAAAAAATATATAACGTGACTTCTATTACTGCCAAATCTTAGTCACTGTAATCTTTTTCCTCTGGTGTGCAGAACTTTACTGTGCCAAATTTGTCAAGTTAACTGGATGATAGAAAATATGTTGACAAATACTGTACTATCATTTAATACTTCTTTGAGGTGTAAGGAGAAAATTATTTTTCCAGAGTATTTTATATTGCAATAAGGTGTTTCATGTGAGAGACCATCTTCATTTCATTGAATAACAGCTTTTTCCTTCAGAATTTTAAAATGTAATCTGATTAATAGGGAACTTCAATCAGGTGTACAAATGATACTGGTTTTTAGCCAAACTAGTCCATATTTTCAAACAGTTGTAAACTGTATCGCGTGTAATGCTTTAGTGGTATGGGTACTTTTTGTATAAATGTCAGATGTTATTGAATGTAAATAGCAGACTTCCCCATGGCTCTGGTTCCTGCAAAAATGACAGGTAGACAGTGATGCTTACTATGGTTCAATTGAGGTAGCAGTCATTGAGAAAATGCAGAAGGCTCCTTATAAATAGCTGAAATGCATTTGGATAGACTGCAGTCTTAGAAGTTGTACAGGACAATTTGGTAAAACTGACATAATTGTGATTTATTAACATGAATTAAAATGCCCAACCAGTGCTTCAATGTGACAGTATATTTAAAATAAAAAAGAAATTAAAGGCCATATACTGTACTACTTTCACAAAGATCACACAGTTTGCAAAGACTTGTCATATGTACAATGCTATATACCAAATGAGAAAAGCTGTAAGCAATTATGTACGCAAAAGAAATGCAGTATTTACAGTTTGTCAGGAGACATTAAAAATCATCTATACATTAAATTACATTTTGCTTGCAAATAACCGATAAAACAAAGAGCCATGTCCACACCAAACCATAAGAATCTGTATTGCATTTTTATACCTAAGATGCACTCACAGAACCGCTGACAGAAAAAAAATCCTCATAGTGCCATTACTTAGCTGTGTACTTAATGTGTATGTATAAAATAATAGAGAAAACATTCACTAAATGAATTTAACTGCAACAATAAAATTTAAGATCATGTAGCATCAAACCTACTGCCAGAAAATCAGCTGGAATGTTCACTTACAAAATAAAGATACCTAATACTGGCTTAACAGCACATTTTTTAAGGAATTTTAAAAAGCAAAGATGGGAAAAATACAATGAAAGAGCACTGGTGTTTGGTTTTTTTTTTTTTATACAAAGTTTCATGTACAAGCTTTAAAAAGTACCTTAATAGGTACATATGAAATATACAATTTATCTTACAGAACATTTTAAAAAATGTTTTTGGAGTCCATTTTAATGCCACCCTGAACCATGGTAATTGTTCTGAAATGTTGGTGGCACCTGTGCTCTGTGAATGGGAATCTGTCCAGGCACTGGAGATGCCTGCTGAGGTCCTTGAACCCCATGTGGTAGGGCCACAGAGCCAGGATGCGGACAGAACCCTGAAGCAGTAGGCGTTGGAATACTGTTTGGTCCTTGGGGCTGGAGGTGAGGACCTGCAACTGGTAATGGACAATGTGGCCCTGTTCCAGAAGGCTGGTGTTGGGGTCCCGGTCCCAAAGTGGTGTGGTGTGTAGCTTGTGAGGGATACGGTGGTACAGCTGGATGAGCACTTGTAGGAAAAAGTGGAGGTCCTTGATGAGGTGGATGGTGTAAGGCTTGAGCTGAAGTGGTGTGGTGCCCAGAAGCCAAAACACTGGAAGGAGGAGGAGGAGGGGGAGGGGGAGGTGCTGAATTGACAACATGCTGGTGTTGTGCTTGTAGACCTTGGAGTCCTGTGGAAGGAAGGGGGGGTGGTGGGTGATGATGAGGGGCAGGACCAGGAGGTGGAGGGGGTGGTGGTAGATGGTGGCCAGCAGTCTGAGAATGAATATGCGAGCCAGGGGTGACAGCATGAACAGGCCCTACTACATGTGTTACAGAGTGTTGCTGATGGGAATTTGGGGGCTGGACGAGGTGTGGTCCTGGAGCAGGTGGTGGTGGTGGAGGGGGCGGGACAACAGCAGCAGTAGTTTGATGGAGAATAGTAGGGTTCTGAGAAGGCAAAAAATGCCCCGGAGTAACATGGTGTCCTGGAACTGTTTGCTGGCTTGTAGTGCCAGGAAGTGCTTGGTTTGGTCCTGATGTAAACACAGTTTGCTGGGAAAGACTACCTTTAAGCTGATTGTAATTCTGAAAGTTTGCAGAGGGCTGCTGGTTTTGATAATAAGATGATGAAGAAGGTGGCGGAGGAGGTGGAGGGGGCGGTGCAGTGCTGTTCAGACTCTGTTGGTTAAACTGACTGTATGTTGCTGAAGATTGTCCTGAGGGTGTCTGTGTGAACAATGCTCCGGAAGTCGCCTGCTGGGTATTGGCTTGAAGGTTCTGTGCTGCTGGATAAAAATTTCTCTGAGGCTCTCGCTGAGGTGTTCCGACTTGGGGTGACTGTGAATGATGAGGCCTGTAAGGTGATCCTAATTGCTGTGAAGGAGGCTTTGGTGAAAGGTACCCATGCTGTGTAGTTGTGTGAGGTGTGGATGACTTTGGAGGGTTTTCCACGTGAGGCGATGGAGGACAGTGCAGCTTCATTGGTGCAGAAGGCAGCTTTTGTGAAAGTTGCTCAGATGAATTGCGAACAAGTTGCTGAGGAGGATGATTCTTGGAAAGTGCTTGGGTGTTGCTTAATTGTTTCTGTGGCAGCTCTGTTTTCAGGTGAACACTATTCTCAGCTTCTGATACAATAACTGTCGTCTCCCAATGGGAATCTGTTTTTGTGAGTGTTCTCCCAAGTGGTTGAGTAGAAATTACAGGTCCTGGTGAACCAGACTGAAAAGAAAACAAGTCAAACAAACATTTTAAGCACTTCAAGTTTATTTTACTCTCATTGGTATCTAGGCAATAAGGTTGAGAACTTAAGAGGCTTGGGCGTTATTTTTCCTTGCCTTTCCCCCTGAAGTAATAATATAAAAGGGATTTTGAGTGTTATTATAATAACTTGACTCACTTAGCAAGCTTCTACTGCTAGTGTCTTCTGTGGCCTATCTCAATGGTAAGTTGGTTTGGTGAAGAAAATTCCTTGCCCAGTTTTCATTTGAATTACCTTGCATGTTGTTCAGAAAAAATTTACTCAAGTACAAGGCTACTTAAATTTCTTCAGCATATATATATTCTTCAAGAAAAAAAAAATCTCAGATCACTCAGCTTTGGCTTCCAAACATATTGATTGCCACCTGAAGGCATCACATTATCCAAAAGAGAAAGGATTCTTTACCAACGAAGTGACCTGCCCCTTCGTTTTTAGACGATGTTTCCTAGATCCCACTGGAATAGTGGTGGAACTCTTGGAGAAAAATGTAAGGTTGGTATGAGAGAATGAATAAAACAGTGAACACAATTAAGTATATTTGACAGGAAAAGTGCTCAGGAATGACAAACCTAAGTTGATACAACAGAAAACTCTGTGCCTATTACCCAAATGGCCACATTCAAACATTGTTACCTTGCTCACTTTTGAAGGGCTTTTACAAATATTTTGAGAAGTATCTGGGGATGGACATTCATTTGTTACTGTGAGTTCTGGAACTTCTGGGTCAGGATCTGTAAAGCAAAAAAAAAACCTACATTATTTGCTCAATATCGCTTTTTTATTAACAATTTCAGGCAGTACACATTCTATTCTTTAACTTTTTATTTTCATAGAAACTGATTTTAAAAAGGCACTAAAAATAACCACGATAGGTCATCAGCTTACTGACCTTCTATACGTTCACTGAAAGAAGGGACTGGGCCCTTGAGTTGCAACTGAGGAATGTGATTTGAATGAGATGAAGGTGAAGACGGAACATGACTCGGTGAACATGGGACACATGGTGATTCTCCCCCTAGAGGTGAAGCAGAAGCAGACCCAAAGAGAACATTAGAACTGCAAAGAAAGGGTGCAGAGTGATTAGCTGAGTCCACTTATTGTCAAGGAACAAGCTAACTTACCACTGTCTTTATCTTTTCGGTGATCACTGAGAAGCAAAGCTCGCTGATAACTCCTTTCTCTCACTTGTTCCACTGAAGTTGAAGCAGTCCTTTAAAATAAATCATATCATCAATTTAAAGAAGCTACTGCTGGCTAGATGGTTGTCTGTCCCCTGATGGTCAAGATATCCAGCTTTGAAAATAGCTTAGCTTTGCCCCCTGCTGACAGCTTCCATAAATGAAGTTTTCAGCCTTATTTCTTTGAGGAACTCAAACTCAGTCTCTAGACTTAAGGGGAAGCTGGGATTTGAGGAGTAGTGTATTGAAGTTCAGAATGTTACTTCAGATTACCAAAGACACCAAATATCTGTCAAACTACCCTGTTAGGAATGTAAAGTTAGAGAAACTCTCAGGGGCAAAAGGACCAGGGAGCAAAGTAAATGATCTCCTGTCCTTTGTTAAGACCCATCATCTAGCAGCCTCTGTTGCTATGAACAAGCAATTTGTTTTGTTTTTTTTTTTTTCAAGGCACTGTGTAAGGGTTATAGAGTAATTGCAGAAATGTTGATTATGATAGTTTCTTTGGAGGCACATATTTGTGTGAAAATGATCAAGGCCTTGAACACCATGAACCTTTAACACATGTTGTTCTTTTCAGAATGGCTTACTTCAAACCTTAGCAAATACACCTTCTATATAATTAGACCCTGATTATAGGAAATAATGAAGACTAAATATGAAGTATACACACTACTTGGAATGCCAAGCTACCTAATAGGCTTTTAAACAGGCTTACCATTGAACTTCTGGTTCATTTTTCTCACTGGCAGAAGCTTCCTTAACAGAACAGTTATTGCTGCTTTCTTCTGAAGTAGTATTATAAACTACAGTTGGCGTGGGCAAAGGTAGGCTAGTCGTGCTCTCTCCCTGCTCCCCATTTTCACTTCTGTTGGCACACCCATCACCACTGTTGTGGTTTAAGTTTCCACTTGCATGAGGTGATATGTTAACCAGTGGAAAGTGTTCTGCCTTAGAGCCACTTTTCCTAGCTTCACGTTGTCTTTTACGGTATTCTAATAGAGAAACCTTAAAAAAGATAAAACAAGATAAAAGATTTGCTTTTTTCTTATGTCAACACCAATCTATTCTTTCTAAGGAGAATTACATCAATATTAGGGAAATTATGCAAAATAATTAGATTCTGAACAAATAATAATTAACAATTATCAAATGCTACTATACGCTAGGCATTGTATTTAGATGATTTATATACATTATCTCATTAAGCCTCACAACAACCCTATGAAATATAGGTATATTATCATCCCCATTTTACAGATGAGGAAATTGAGTAACTCACTCACTCAAGGTCACACAGCTGGTGAGTGTTGGAGCCGGGATTCGAACCTAGGTCTTACTTGAAAGCCCGTGCTCTTTCCACTATACTACATTGCTTCCCACAAAGTTGCCAACTGGACTCTGTTACAAAAATTAAAAGCACACATCACTAAAATTCTTTGACTTGCAAAGCATTAAGCCTATTAACAAATAAAATTAGTTTCTCATTTTCTTTGAAATTAGGCATTCTAATTGTTTCAGCCAACCAAATAACGATGGTAAATCAAAAGACTTGTTACATATTATCTATTGGCTTAAACAGGATAGCCAACAAGAGGTATTTATCCCATATAAGCTGCCTGTTCTTAAAATACAGGTATTTAAGAGTGACAGTAAAGCCAACATCATATTCAACTGTTTATTTGGTTGGGAAGTATTTTTAAGTTTTTTTTTGGTGAAATTTTAAAGTTATATTTAATGTCTCATGTTGGTTGTAAGAATTTTCTATATCTCTACAAATTTTTATTCTGTGAACATTTCACGAAAGGTTGAGATTTACATACCAAATTTTAATTTAACTAAGAATGCCTTCCATAGCACATCCTATAAATAACCCTCAATAATATAAAAACATTATTAAAAGGAATATAAATTGTTAAATTTGTAACCTTTTTCTTTTGTGGTGGATTCTGGGGTGTACAATTTCCATCCATCAAATTGTCATTAACAGTCCGTCCGAAACCAGAGACAAGCCCATCTTCTGAAGTACAAAACACAGATGTTTCCATAAACATGCCTCTAGTATCATCCTGCATCAGGCACTTTGACTCACTTATTCGGAAGCCTCCTCCAACCTCCAGTTGATGTGAGGGAGTCAGGTCCCTCAAATTTGAGTTTACCGAGAAGTTAACTCCTGTTCTGTCAGGACTCTTTACCCAAGAAGAATATATCGTGCCCCGTCCAGAATGGGCAGAGTCCAGTTGGCTATTAGCATCAGTCCTGTCGTGTGTGGGTGTTTCCATGGTTTTATGTAAGGCAGTTTGCTCGATTGCATCGAGTCCCAGTTGCAGGTCTGACACTGATTCCTTTTCTCCAGGGCACTGCCTACTGACTTCAATTCTACTCCTAGGGCTGGTATAGCCAATAGTTTTTATTTCTTGCAGACCCAGTTCAGTTAAATTAGAATTTCTAAAAGGCCCCAACGTTAACATGGTTGAAGATCTTTCATATCCCTGTTTGCAGAAATAAAAAGAAAAATTACACATCTAACCCACAGCTTGTGATTTTTATTTCAAAATCTAACTTAAGGAATAATGATACCAGGACAAAGTCACTAATTTCAAGATCCCTAGTAAACAAAACAATTCCTTACCTCTTGACTATAAGTGCGTCTCTTAATTTCTGGAGAACTTTCTGGGGAAGAAATATTCTATATAGAAGAAATTAAGAGTTAGAATTGAAACAAAATGATGCTATCTACAGAGTTAAAATGAAACTACTGCATACACCATGATTTTAAACTGAAAACTATTTCTCAGAATGAGATAGTTAAGGTCAATTCAATACACAGGACAGTAACAGTCTGTATGGATTGGTACATATAAAATTCATGCCCAATAGAGTAAAATGTTTTTAGTTTACTAAATATGTGCTCCCAAGTTTCTCTTTTACTTAATTACTTTAGCTTTCTTCTAAGTTAATGAAGAACGGGGTAGAGGCAATGAAACAAAACCATTCCCATAAATTCTAAAACTTCTGTTTTTAATTTAAATTTTCTCACCTCAAAGTGCATGGTATTTCCTGGTGTCCCAGGTGTTACTGGGGTAACTGGTGAATATATGGGCTTGTAACCATTTCTACAAGCTTCGTCATCTGATTTTACCCGTGGAGGGGTAGCAAATGATGGGTCCGTAGTAACATCTGTGTGAGTTGGTGTAGCATATGGTGAAGGAGTGGGTGTGGAGGTTTCTGAGTAAACAGACTCTAGCAACTGATAAAGTCTTCGTTTCTTCAGTGGTGTAGTTAAATCTGTTGGTGAAACAATAGTTTACATAAAATTATACAGCTGTTATGTCCTATAATCTGTAATGAATTCTAGGAAAATCAAAAATGACCACCCCCAAATGAAGTTTACAGGGTGTTTTAAAACGATTACTAACAAAATGGTCTCTTTCCCCCATTTCCAAATTAATCACTGTTACCAAGTGTTACTTGCTAGAGGGTTTACAGATCTAAGCAGTTTGTGTGAAATCTTGAAAGAATAGGTATTAATTTAACCAATTTCTAAGATACCTTAAAAATCTACACTAAGAGCCTCCCTGATGGGTGCCAAGGAGTTAGTTCTCAGCACTATAAAGCTTCCTGAAGCTGCTGCAGCACAAGTTCCATCCTAGGCCAGGGAGGTGAGCCACATGGAGCAGCAGACCTCTCCTGACTAGCCCCTCAGCAGTGTGTTTTGTCAGACAGTCTGTTGTGCTCTGGTGCTCTCAAGTCCCACCCACTCCACTCCACCACCTCTGGCCTCTACCCCAGTTCTTGTTTGCCTAAATAAATCTTTTTTTAAAAGTCTGAAAAGCAGCAAGCCTAATATCCAAAGTAGGACAAAAATTTAACCCCCAACTCTCAACATAATGTAAATTAAGATATCCGCATCTGTCTTCACCCAAAAGGTAGGAAAACACAAAAGTCATCTGACTTATGATGGGGCTTGCTGGAAATGCCATTAAGAATTACAACAGCGTAAAAGATGCTGGCACAGCTACATTATCAGAACAACTGTTTATTCTTGTGATGATGCATCTGAATGGGACCTATAGCTTACTGTCATTACAAGCATCGGAAGACAATGTCATAATTCTATTGCTAACCCAGGAAAAGATTAAAAGTAAGCCCTTTACTGAATTACTACTGCTTTTCCACCCATGGTATGGCTGAAAAAAATCATAAGCTGAACCATTGTTAAGTTGGAGACTATCTACTTAATAAACTTTTTTAGTAGAACAGACAATAATTAGAATATACTTGTTACAAAGCCAGATTTTATCCTGCCATGTTCTTCATTCAAACAATAATGAAAAGAAATTCTACCTGGGAGAGAGCAGTTGTCATTTAATAGTAGTGGACTTTTATTTTCACCATTCACCGTAGGACTTCTGGATCTTTCTTGACAGGCTGAACTAAATCTATGTAAAATCACTGAGTTTTCTTCTTCTAGAGCTTGTTTCAACCATCGCTGAAATACATTAGACAATACATGAATAGAAATCAATTTGTAGCTGTTACATAGCCTATAAATGTTACGCCAGTCTCAAAAGCATTTCATTATTAGAAATGGTAGTAAGGTACCTTCTTGCACGAGCCAGAAATGTTTTCAGTTGGTTCTTTCCTTCTCCTTTTCTCAGAAAGGAATGGCGAAGTAAATCTAATGTAATGCTTAGGAGTAGAATATACATGAGGACTGTAAGTGAGACCCGGTAAAGAATTGAGCTGTGTAGCCAACACTTCAGGATCTGTAGTTATGCGCAAAGGCCTTTCTGAAAGGCTGTCTGAAGGTTTTCCTGTCTTCTCATTCTTCTCACTTAACCATTCATTGACTAAGTGCTAGAGGAGAGAAAAGTTTGATTCAATCAACACAGATTCTTCTCTATATGGAATATCCTACTAATAAATATGAAATTGATATTTTTGCTAATACCATATATTAAATGATTTAAATTGTTGATACAGGATGCCAAAAAAAAAATCGACTCAAGCTATTCTGTAGTTCTCTGGTTATCTCCTAATTCCTACTGTGCCACAATAATATTTTATAAGAACAAAATACATGGTGGCGTCTGTAAAATGTAGGAGACCTCACTATTAAACAATTTTGGTTTGTTATCATAGGTATTAAATGTTTAATTGTTTAAGGAAAATCTGATTTTAGGCAGTATTTTTCTATTCTCCTTATCCATCATATTCTCTAGAAGTGAGTGTGTACACATGTTTAAAAAAACTGTCACCACCGACAGTCATAATTTAAGGGTTTTAAAATCTAACTCCCTATGCTTTGAAAATTCACCTGATCTGTGAATAAATATATATCTGATATATATATCTAAAGAAACCTCTTCCATCTAGCCTGCTCCTTTCCTCAGCAGTATATTTCAGTAGATCCACCTGTTCTGTACCCAACTCTGTCTCTGGTGAAGCCTCTCATCCCCCATAACTCTGGCCTATACCCCAATACTTGTATGTATAAAAAAATTAATCTTAAGAAAAACAGAATAAATATTAAGGTTGCCCTCAGAAAATACCTGGCACAGAATAAAATACTATATATTAATAGAATCAGGCCTGTAGTTAGGCAGAAGACAATTTAGTAGTATTGCTAAAATCACAATACTATCAAGTGAAACATGCAGCAAGAGGCTTTTTTAGAGAATCCGATAGGATATAGAAACCTAACTCTCAAAACAGATTTAAATAAGTTTGTAGCACCATAATACTTTGGTCACTTAAGGCACTTAATAAAGAGGGAAAAGAGAACAGAAAAGAAGGCGGGGTTATGTCATTTGTAATTGAGAAAACAGAACAGTTTACAGCTTAGATCTGCCCTCTGACTTGCTATTAGACTTTATTTCTGGATTCGTCTTAGTATTTGCTAATGTAAGTCAGTTTCATAGCTCTACCTATTGTACTGAGTTTTGTATGAAAAAAGACTAGGTAAATTAAGTTTGTAGTACCGTTAGAGAAATATGCAAGAATGATCCATTCTTTGTCTAACCTTTTACCCAAACAACTGAAGATTACTCTTTAGGTATCAGCTCCAATCTGCTATACTCAGAGTAGGGAAAAACAGGTTTCATAAAATGTCATTTTTGAGTTATAAAGCTTAGTTTGGTTTATTACCATGAATAGCTTTCTATTAATTGCTTCATTAAATCTGACAGTTTCCATAGATTTTTATTAACAGAATGACCTAAAGCTACTTTTCCTTAATAAATTTTCATATTCTTTTATAATCTGTGGAAATCAATAGTTTCTTCACATTTATTTCTTGCAGGCTCCTGAGACAGTGAGATTTATTAAAAATTAAAAGAATAAAGGTTACCATCTCTAAAACAGTTTTTCTCTGAGAAGCATATATTTTGAACACAGGTTAAGCAAAAATAAATCATGAGTTGCAACATAATAGGCTTGATGAACATTAATTACATTCACCATGATGCAGACATTAACTGGCTTCAGTTTTATAATTCTCAAGATTCTTTAAATTTAAACTATGCATCCTCTGTTCCTTAGTAGATGTAATAAAATTTTAAAACATGAATATTTAACATAAGACACTAGAAAGCAATTCTTACATTCACTCAGTCATACCTTCTTTGTTTTGGGGTACTTTGTAGGACATTTACTAAGTGCTGGAACTTCTGTTTCGGTAATTATTTCTGCTAGGGCAGTTTCAGTTTCTGGTTCTATAGCAAGTACAGTACTTTCAATATCATTTTGTTGTGAAGTAACTTCTATATCAGGAGAAGATGGCTGGATATCTGAACACATGCTAACAGTTCTGTGCCTCCGACGCTGCTGTCCAATGTGAGTTCTACTCCGAGAAAAGCTTTTTCTCTGTTTAGTTCTATTCACTTTGGCAGGGGTTGGCTTGCTAGCAGTTTCTTCTTTTGCTTGTTCCTAATTCAAAACACAAGGGACAGAATGTAATTTGTTACTATGTTTATATTTAAATGAGAAGCTGAAGTTCACAACTGCATTAATTGCAATTAATTCAATCCAGAAGCTCCCTTTCTCGTTTCTTTATGAATTGTGGTATAGACTAAGTTGAGGTAAAACAGAGCAAGTAGAGTCTTATAGCTCAAATGGGAATTTTCATAGGATTTGGAGATGCTATTAAAGGCTAATAGCAGACATCAGAAATTCTTTATGGCAGTAAATAATCATATATAGAGACTTTAACTGAAAATAAAAGTAGACTTGAAGAACAATACCTGAATAACTTCAGCATCACTGGTGATCTGTGCATCTTTACATTCAGTTTTAACTTCAGTTTTGGCTGTGCTGATTCTTTCCAAAGCTTGTTCTCTTCTTTTCTCTCTTTTTTCAAGTCTGGCAAAAGCTTGCAGAATTGCTTCCATTTTCCTTTCTTCTCTTGTCTACAGAATTTAAATTTTAAGTGGCCTTGTAAATATATTGCTTTTAGTAAAATTCTAAAGCCCAAGCGTTCATGGCAATTTTAATACTTTTCATATTGTTGGCAAAACACTCTTACTGACCATAGGTATGGTGGGTGATTCATTTGAAATCTTTCAGAAGCCCAAAAGTCTTGGTGAGCCCTGTCCCTGTCATTATAACACACTTCTGGAAAATGACACTTTAATGACTGTCAGTGATAAGGTTAAAGCAAAATTTTAAAAAGCCTCAAAAACTATCTGCGTTACTAAACTGAAAATCATTTTTCTTAATAAACCTTTTTGAAAAACTCAAAGTTCCTAAGGTAACAATATACTGAAACATAAATTCATATAAATGTTAATTAAATACATTTTCACATATGTAGGATGTTGGGGTAAAGTTCTGAATTTAAATCATAACTCTGTAGTCATTTACTACCTCTGTAAGTGACTTAACAATCCTAGTCAACCTTTTTTTGAGACTCTTATAAAATGCAGGTAGTAATACTTACACTCTACTGAATTGTTAGAGTTCAAATAGAAAGTATCTGAAGTTTGCCAACAGTACTTGGAAAATGATGGGCATTCCGTGTTAATTATTTCTACTTTAGCTCTCCTGCCCTCCAGTATAATTCTTAAAGGCATTCCTCTACCTTCTGCTCTTCCTGTCTTACACTGACAGTTCAAGGCAGGGACTGAGGAACAGCAAGAGTTCCTTTGAACAACATCAGTTCTCTTTGGAGAGAGAACATTAAAAGCAAGACCCAGAGCCTTGACCAGTGGGCCTGGCAAATGCTTCAGCTTTCAACCAGAAACAGGAAGTACGTCCATGAACTGTTCAGTTCTCCAAATGAAAATAACCAGGTCCTGAGGCTCAGATCCATTTGTCTTTCCTCCTTTATGTCATCGATGTGGGGAAGAAAGAAAGAAAGATCAGAAACTCAATGTCTGGCTGCATGGTTTTCTTAATGTTGGAGCTTTAGTTCCAGTAATTATCAGCAGAGATGCAACATCAAGACACCTATATTCTGGAAACTAGTATTTTTCTTGTATTTTATCTTTATTACATTTGTAAGTTACTGTATCTATAAAACTATTCTGAGAATACTTCTGAGTTTCTATTTAGTACAGTAAATTGCCATACTGCAAACACGTTACTCCTACAAAATATTATTCTCATCCCTATTTTACAGGTAAGAAAACTGTGGTCCAAAGAGGTGAGATTACTTATCTGTGGAAATACACACCTTAGGTTTCTTGGTCTATGTTTGGTAAACATATACAAGAGCTTAGGCCAAAGAAAAGCCTTTACTATAAGAAGTTTTCAAACTGATTTCTTTCCTTAGGTAATTCCAAGCATCTAGTTCTTGAAAATCACTTTATTCCACCACTTGTTTGTGTACGGCTTTTTATTAAAAATACTTCCTCTACATGTCAGGGTTTTTAATAAAACCCTAAATTTACATAACTGGCATAACTAAACATTTTCATCATAGTTTTAACATGTCTTCTTTTGGAGTGTCAAGTAGAGACAAGGAATTGTTATCTTTTTAAAAATTAAAATTAAATATGGAAAGTGTACATTCTCCAGATCTTAAAGGTCACTTTATATGTAAAAAAAAAAAAATTACCCACAAGCCAGGCACCTGTATCATTTTATAGGATTTTCTGAGATAAATGTGTGTCACAGTTTCTTTCACACAGTTCAACAATTAGTTATTTTAGGATGTAGGAGAAAATTATTTGATGTGAAGACCCATGTTCACTCAATTAAAATATTAAACTCTACTGTAAACAATACAACTACTTGATAAAGCTAACCCAACCTCCTTTTAAGCAATTATAGCTAATTGTGTAGGCAATAAGAGCAACTGGGAGTCTTAATTAACTGTAGCAGACTTCTCACAGAACTTTAACACCTGTATTTGATGTAGAGACTACACTTGCCTTAAAGGCTAAGGTCTACATTTTATAACCATGGATCACTCCAAGCCATGCACTTCAGTCCAGATGTTAAAATCATTTTGTTCTATGTTAAACTGATAGAGAAGCAGAACCAGATAGGACTGCCTTACAAGAAAACTTAATGTAGGAAGTAGAATTTTGACACAATGTTATTAGTTAATGCTATAGTGTGAGTGCTAACTAAACTATGGCGATCTCTGATGGGATCTGACATGTTGCTTTTATGATATTTTAGTTTAAAGTTTTACAGCAGCAAATAAAAGTACTGCTATTTACTGTAAGCAGAAAAAGTCAGCTAATGCCCTTCTGTAAGATTTTGCCACGTTGAGTGGGTATTTTGGTAATTTTAATGCCAGTTTAGTTGAAATCATAACGTCATACTTGGAAGAGACTAAGAATGCCATTGTAGCCTCAGTGGGAAATTTGTAGGGTATATGAATTGAGGAAGAGACAGAAGAGAACTATGATATTGTACTGTTGCTTCAGGTACAGAATTAGCTCTTCAAAAGAGAAAAACATCCTACAAAACTATCTTACCCTAACCTCGAAGTGAAGAATTTAGGAGATTCCATACTCAAAACTTTATCTTTTCAGATTTTAATTAGTATTTTTCAAAAAATGGATAAGCTGCTGGTTATCCATAAAATCATTCCAAGTAGTTAAGTATGGCTTATGTGGTATCTGTGTTTCTTCTCTACCAGAAGGCAATTTCATTGTTTCTTGTTTGATATTAGTTATTCCTGCTTCTCATTTTCCATGAAATTCCTCTCAAATAGAAAGCTTTCCTTCCTTGTTCACCCAGTACCCAAACAGGCACAGCATTTAAGATAGTCATTTTACCATAAAGTTAACATTTAACTTTACGTGACATTTTTATGAAATGGGTATCACTTATTTTAAGGCACATAAATAACTGAAAGTAGGATTTTTGTAGCCTTGAATTTATTACAAGGTAGCTAAAACTCAACAGCATCCCTATTAAAAAATTCCTTTTTGGCCCTCCCTGGTGGCACAGGGAGTTAAAGCACAGCACTTAAGAAGCTAAAAGCCACTTCAGCATGAGTTCAATCCCCGCCCCGCAGGTGACCCACATGGCCTGGCAGACCTCTCCTGACCAGCCCACTGCTCCCCTAGGCAGCGTGTTTTGTTGATCTGCCTGTTCTGCTCCCCACTCTGTCTCTGGTGAAGCCTCTCACCACCCCTGCACCTCTGGCCTGTACTCCAGTTCTGTATGCATAAATAAATATTTTTTTAAAAAAATTCCTTTTTGCTACTCAGTACCACAATGTCATTAGTTACTCATTCATACAGATATAATTCATGAGAGAACAGGACCTTAGAGAATGAAGTCAGTCATCAACATCAACTTTATCATGCTTTAAGGGGAAGAAGTGGTTTATATTGACTGTCAGCAGATGGTTTTCTTAGCAAATTTATCCAATTATATTTTAAAATTTCTTTCCCATTTTTTCAAGGTGACCTGAATCTCATTCCTAGAAGTGTTCATGCTCATTCCATCCCAGAAAAATATCTGTACACATATACAAAATTGCCAGAGTTTACAAGTTTAGGAAAAGCTGATATAAACAGGAATTGTAAAGTTTTAAAATATACCATGTATACTACAGTGTCCAAAAGATTAGGACATGGTATATATTGTTTACAGCAAACACCTTAGAATTATGTGGAATACTTTTTGATGTGCATTAGGATTGAGGAAAAGGGAATCCCGTGTCCCAGCAAGTCTTTCAAAATGAGCATGAACAGGCTTAGTTCATAAAACGGTTTCCTCAAATAACTGCTATAAGCATTTAAGTAAGATCATTTATTGCCTCTAAAAGCCAGGCTAATAGCTAAGACTATGACAATAAATAAAAACTATTTTTTTTAATCCACGTGTAGTTTTTATTCTAATGATACAAAGCTGCTTGTTTGGCAAGATCAAGAATCTCATACCCAGGTGGCTGTACCTTTCATATCCCTTTTGTTTCTAAAAATGAAGAACTCAACTATTTCCCATGGATCCCAGTTTAAGCAATGTTACTATAATAAACAATCAAATATTACTGAGGCTGTTTCCAAAACAGTCTTTCCATAGGTTATGGGAAATTATTTTGAAAGCACTGTAATAAAAGGCCTATAATGGAGGTTCTTTTCATGCAATTATAAATGGTGGAAGGGAACAAACAAGTTTTCTTCTTTTTATTTAAATCTTCCAAAGGTTTTATATTTTAATTGCTTTCTTGTTTAAGGAAATTTAGGGGATGGGTGGTAGGGTCCACAGTAGTGCCCTGATTTTGGAGTAATGTCAGTATAGACTCCACTGTGTTTCAACGGTCACACCGTAACTGGGCTTATACTAAAATTCTCTTAAGTCAGTATCAACCCATTGCCAAGTCAGTATTTTATACTGGCCAAAGAGAAAACATCCAATTACTATGCTGTTACATACCAGTTGTCACAAGATTGCTTTTGTAAGTAGCTGGGGGTGGGGTTGAACATAAAATGGAGGAAAAAGAAAAATTATGAGAATGCTTTTCTATCCTAGTCAGTGATTTGAATTCTCTGAAATCATCATTACTTAATATCTACATCCAACAGCATCTCTCTGTACACTTTCTATCCTTTCCACAAAAGGAAAAACAAAAAACCCCCACAAAACCAGACCGCTCCCCCAGACATAACTTACTACATTTACAGCTTCCTACAAACTAACTACTCTACAGAAATACCATCCATTCAATCTCATACAATTTAGCCACAAGCTAATCTGTACTTACCTATTCATAAAATCCATCATAAATCTAATCCAATCATAAATCTAGTGCCTGTAAAGTTCTCTGATACCCCTAGCTATAAGCTATCATTTCTATCTCTGCCACACCTATTGCTGCACTGGAATTCTTTTTGTAACACTCTGAAGTCAGAGTTTGTATCTCCCAGAGGCAAGCAACATAAATCAACAATTTGGTGCAATTTTTGGAGACTGAACAAAATGCACATTAGAAGGTGTGGTGCATGACATTGCTATGATATAGGTAAGAACTGTCTGAGCTAAGTTGTCTAATCCAGTTTCATAAAGTTCAAGTCATACTACAAAAGAAAGAGTTATAGTTGAGAGGTTGCATGGCATTTATTTGGAGAAGCTTATGACTCCTTTTACAGTCCAATATTGTAAGCAGACATGAAAACTATTACCCTCCACATACCTGTAGTGATTTAAAGTTTGTCCTGTAACAAAGCGCTCAAGTATAACAAAACACTTAAATTTAACATAAATTTCTCAGAAGCAATCTTACCTAGTGCCCACTGATATAAACAATATAAAAGTTTAGTACTTGAACTTTTTTAAGTATTTTGGGCCTTACAAATACTAATGCTTGTTCATATGGTAGGAGAGGTGTGGGGGGACAACCAAACCAATTTCTTAAGAACCTAAGCATTCTTATTTTGGTATAACCAAAAAATTCTGTAATAAAAATATCACAGCAAATGTACTGATCAAAAATACTACAGTGGCTGATGGCAACTGGTCAAGGAATCAAAAAGATGTTTTTTAATATTTGCTCTTCAAAATACCATAAAAATTGTATACCATATTTTTTGAGTTTTCAACATTTCACTTCTATGAAAAATACCCAGCTGCACAGACAACATAGTGGCAGGTACCAGAAAGCATACCAATAGGTAAACTTAGGGCAAATAACTGCTTCCCAATTATGGCTTTTTTTGTCTATTCATAGTCCTATCTTTAACATTAGCAAAAGGGTTGCCTAGTTTTTTTGAGATCTGAAAAAGAAGATGTTCTAAACACTAACTTTCTCAGAGTTGACAGGATATATTTTTAAAGGTAGTCTTATCAACTTGACACAATTGGTGTAAAATTACTTAAAGGGTATAAAACAAATATCCAAGGTATTTTTTCCCAAAGGAGTTGTGAAAGCCCTTAAAACCACTTGTTAAAGTTCCTCCTACCAGACACAAGTGTCATACAGAGCTAATGAAACTAAACTGGCTTTCTGAAAGTTCCTGCAGAGTTAGTATAAATACAAGGACGTGGCAACTGAAAAATCTAAATGGGACAAAGGCACAGAAGATTTGGATAGGTGTCAGTAATTAAGATGTAGCTTAGAATTAAAGACAATTGCCTTAGGTAGAAGATCTCCTTTTCTAATTGTTTTCCTTTATGTCTAACACTACACTATCCTGTCATAGCAGGGTTTTTAACTCTAGCTATGAAACATCCTACATTGCTTTCACAATTTTGATTGACAGTGAGTCAGTAGTAGTAGAGTGAAGCTGTAGGCAATAAAGTAGACAAACATTAGGCCTTTAATGACCAAGTTCCAAATATCCTACACCTAGATGCCCTGGGATGCAGCATGAAATCACTAGACCAGGCAACAAGGATGCATATAAAGTAAAAGTGGGCAAGACCATACTAAGATCAGTAGATGGTGTATAAAGTTACTTTCAAATCTAAGGGGAGAAAAAGAACCTTAATATTTTCAAATAAAAATAACTGCAAAATTGTATTAGTTTTATATTGACAAGGTATTTGCAAATTATTATACATGGGCTATAAATCCTAATTTCAGTGAGAAACAAATTTTGTGATGGCAGTAAGAGATGCAGAAATAGTAGCTACCAATGGTGGTTCCGCCCCCCCCCCTCCCACAAAGCCATTTATGTGGCTCTTATTATAAGCTTTAAAATTCTACTTTTATATTAAATCATGAAGAGAGGATACATTTAGTTAGTAAAAGACATTTGGAACAGTAACTCTAGCATTAAAATTTATTAATAGCAATCTTCAAAAATGTTGAAAATGATTTAAAAACCATACAATCTAAAGTATCTAATGAACACACAAGTAAAAACAAAAGATTAAGTGGATGTTAACTTGAGATGACAAAGCCAACAGAAATGCTCAATGGCACATCAACAAAGGCTCTCAAAATGATGGCGATTACTACTATGGGAAGAGCAGCTATGACTAAGCCAGTATGAAGCAGCTACTGGCTTCCCAACTTACCATCTTCCTTTTCCTCTCTGCAATCTGCTCCTCTGATTCCATTTCTACTTCATTGCTAATAGGAGTTTTTTCTTCTATATCATCAATAAAATCTGGTTCCTGAAAGATGAAAATAACTGCTTTATATAAACTACTACTCTACCTACAAACTAGTAAACTGAACTATTGTCTTTCAACCATTGCTAATTCAACAGTATAAGTATAAAACAGTAAAAGTATAAACAGTAAAAGTATAAGTCTACTTAAATTCATTTAAGAAGTTTCCTAATTCAAGAACGTTTCAAAATAATGTAATCATGTAATTTTTTTTAAATAGTCAATAAGGGTTTTATCACTAAAGTCCACAGTTCAAAATATAGTAGCATAACTTTATGTCTACATTCTTCCCAAAACATTAACAAATTATTTCACAAAACTCAGTGCCTACAAATACCAACTGCACAAATGTTTGCTTAATTTTTAAAATTAAGAAAAATTATTCCTAGAAGTACTGGATATGAGCAAACCTTTCAATTTCACATATACATGATCTTTACCTCCATTTACATGGAAGGCATACAATAAAACATCCCATGGGATAGAATTAGAGGCCAAATTCCACCAAATTATCTCATGTGTATTTTTTAAAGATTTGTTTATTTATGCTTACAGAATTGGGATACAGGCTAGAGGTGCAGGGGTGGTGAGAGGATTCACCAGAGACTGAGTGGGGAGCAGAACAGGCAGAAGATCAATGAAGTACACTGCTAAGTGGAGCAGTGGGCCAGCAGGAGAGGTGTGCTGTGCCATGTGGCTCATCTCCCTGGTTGGGAATCGAACTCATGCTGCAGTGCTGTGATAGCTTCATAGTGCTGTGTTTTAACCTGTTGCACCACCAAGGAGGACCCTATATCATGGTCTTTTCAGAGAATTTTCTCTCAAAATTTTATCTGTCATCCTTAAAAACTGGTATCATTATAGCCCAAATATTAATGGTAATTTTATGGCTTTAAACATCATGCATATGAATATTTATGACATCTGGAAGACTTTTTTGGACATCTGGAAGATTTTTAAAATAACCCAGTCTTAGAACATTTTTGCCCCACTTTTACAAGGATTTGCTAGTTGTTTCTTAATACGGTTAACAAATATTGTACATATTCTTTCACAGCTTGTATTTTATAAATACTTTAGGTAACAGAATGAACTCTCAAACAAAAATTTTAAAAATGTAACACTGTTTTCTTTAAAGCCTGCCATTGAGAATCAATAGGGCATACGTTAGTACCTGATTATTTGATACTGATAGTCTCAGTGGAGAAAGTTTTCTCTGTTTAGTTTCTGGGCTCTTCATTTTGTTGGTTGTTCCTTCACAATCTAAAGTAATATTCTGATTTTGTGTGTCTTTTTCTTTTGCAGTGTCCTTTTCTTTTTTTCCTTTCTTCCTTCTGGTTTCATAACCACTGTTGATGTTTTCAGTGGATTCAGAACTACGTTTCAGAACAGGGCACTCTGGATTTTCTTTGAGGCATGCACAATCCACTTTGTACTTACTGGAAAGATAACCAGTTAAATATTAAAAAGAGAAACTTAAAATTTTCTAATGCATTTAATGGTGCAACTACACAAAACCTACTTCTAATAACAATCAATCCTTTTCACTTAGCTGTATTCCGGGTAGCTATCACAGAGAAGTTTTATTGTCTCATAATAACAATGAGATAAGTAGAAACTGACTTCTGGTAATAGATGTGATCTTCAGTCATTAAGGATAACTTTATAGTAATGCTTTATAGAAGAAACACAAACACTTAGGCTTTTTAAGTAAAATGATAACTGTTTTTACATTAAGACAATCTGTACTTCAGTTTGTACTTCAGTGGTCTAGATTATTTGTGAAGTATTTCATAAAATACTGATCCTCTTTTTAACCTACATAAAAAATGGTAGGCATAATAAACACCAGATCTTAACTAGTTCGTATAAACACTTTATGGAATCATTTCAATAACCAGGTTTCTTTAAAACATTACCTTGATAAAAAGTTAGGCTTCATTTTACCCCTCTTAAGTGTTCCCTCTTTCAAATGGAAGCTTGAAAAAAAGTCAGTAAGAATAAAGACCCAGTGTACGAATAAATAAATAAAATCTTTAAAAATAAATAAATAAATAAAAAGAATAAAGACTCAGCACAAAAGTAAATTAGGCAATTCATAAGAGAAGAAATCCAAATGGCAAGTGAATATATAAAAGGACTCTAGGGCTTATAAAATAATCAAATGAATGAGTTAGTTGTACAGTAAAGGGGAGCAAAGTAGTAAAGCTGTAGGGCCATAAAAGTCATTTGGTGAAAACTGAGGTTGTGTACATTCTACAACCCAGCAATTCCAACCTTAGCTCCCTACCCATGGAGACATGTTCAGAAAGACAGAGGAAAGTTTTTAAATCTGAAAGTCCAGATTTGTGGATCTAATAGTGGAATGGATAATATAAGCAATGGAAATAAATGAACTAGAGCTACACATGTAGCTAAATCTCACAAAAAATAAATGCAAACAAACACATTAGAGACTAATTTGCATAAAAAATTTTAAGTGTGCAAACTATTAGGTGTAATAGTAAATATTTAAGCACAAAATTAAAGATAGCAGTTTCCTCTGGCAAAGGGAAAGAAGATGCAGGCTGGCTGTTAAATATTAAAAATTTTAATGGGGAATACTTAATTTCTTAATTTAAAAAGTAGTACATTTGATTATTGCATTATTATATATGTTTTTAACATAAAATCTTTTAAAATTTCAATTAAAGTTTCTCTCCTAGTGTTTCTTTCCAGGATCGCCAACAATTTATATTATAAAGAAAATCTGGCACAGTTTCATTTCAGGGGCAAAATAACAATTAAGGAAAGTTAAAAAAGAACAAAACAGTGCTGTGATAGAAGTTGATTATCAAAATGCTTATTTGCAAGTACTTTTAATTGCCTCATGATAAATAAGAATAATAGGCTATTAAGGAATGACATTGCTTAATATTATGAGAACATTAAGACACTAGTTTGAAGCAACAGATATATGCCAAGACTAGAACTTACCAGTTTCCATAGTCAAAGTCAAAGGCAATTGTAATTTCAGTTCCTTTTGGAATATTTTGTATAGAATAAATGTAAAGATGTATGGTTCCATCCTCAATTTCATGCCTTACCTGTTAGTTAAAGAAATAATTTTACATTTGTCAGTTACTTTCTATTCATAACATCTCATCCTTCAATTCTGATAACTTTTCAAAATAATTCACAAGAACATGTAAAATATGCATGCTTAATTTTAATCTTTAATTCTAAGATTTGTAATATTAAATCGGTTACTACGAACTGGGAAGGTGGCAGATCAATGTAAGCTTGATTACAAGTTCTACAGCATCAAGCATAATGATGCAAGCCCACCAGAAAGCATACCAAGAAAGCATAAAAAGATAATGCTGTGTATTTTATCAATTTTGTAATGTACACATATTCAATCAATGTTTAGCATTTCTGAAATTGGGAGTCTTACAAGTGATGTCTTATGATTTGATGAAATGCAGTACTTTCCTGTAACAATGTGCTAGGTCCTTTACATATGTTATCTCACTTAGTCCTCATAACACCTTTTTATATAGATGAGGTTACAAAGCTACTAAGTCAGAAAAAAAAAAATGAATCTTGTAAAGTCTGGCTTCAAAAGCTAAACTTAACTATAATATGTAATTATAAAATTTTAAATGTTTCTTTTGGTAGGTAATCAGAGCCACAAATATCATTTTATACTCCAAACTAAAACACACTAAGAGAAATTTTATAGTAGCATATACAAAAATCTACTTTATCTTACAGCTTAGTTATGTGTCTTAATCAAATTATAGCATATATTTGACCCATAAATAAAACTTCCAGGTTAAATAGAAGCCCAGGTTAAATATTTCCTCTTACAAGGAAAATCATAATTTCTCCTATGGCAAATTATCTTTAAGATCTCACAACCAGGGCCTCCCTGGTAGTGCAGGGGATAAAGACTCAGCAATATCAGGCTATTACCAGCCACTGTAGTTCGATTCCTGCCCAAGGAGCTGACCCACATTGCGCAGCAGACCTCTCCTGGTTTGACCACTGTTCTCCTCAGCAATGTATTTCAGTACATCTGCCTATTCTGCTTCTCACTCTGTCTTTTGGGGATTCTCTAAGACCCTATACCTCTGATCTAGATTCCAGTTCTTGTATGTAATAAATAAATTTTTTAAAAGTCTTTTAAAAAAAAGGTTTCATACCCGGTATCTCCTAAATTCCCACAATGGAAAGATACTGGGCAGTATACAAGGCATCAACAGTTTGAATGTGTTTTAGGCTACCAAACTTTAGTGATTAACACTGAGATTCTGAACACCCACAATCCCTGCCTCCCTAAAAGATTCTATCAGCTTACCTCTGCATTGGGAGTACAAGAACGCCTGATGAACCGAGCCTCATTCCCAAAAGTCCTTGCATCAACACACATTTCTAGCCCATGAAATTTAGAGTAGAATAAAACAAAAGGGTAAGGCCTACAAAGAAAAAATACATTATTAACAACATTTTGAGTTTAAGAAATGTATTAGACCCATAGTCAGTAGAAGAGCGAAAATCTGAATATAGGCTAGCTGACTCCAGAACCCATTCTTAATCACTAGGTGAATTCATGCAAGTTAGATTTTTTCCTGCTCCTGTGAACTTACCTAAAGCAAAGGCATATAAGTGAAGGTGGAAGTTCAAACTTACAAATACAGATGAAAAGGGAATGACTACTGCCTTTATAGAATTCATAACTTGATGCCTTTAAATTTCCTATTACCTAGTGCATTGTGTTTGGTTTATAGCACCATTTCAGAATCTGCTATATAAAAAGGTAGGATTTATCTTTACTAAATGAGAAACTAAAGTTACAAAGAGCAAAAAATATTTCCAATAACTATAGGCTTCAGATGGAGAATGTTAACTTCCAAGAGATACAAACATACTTCTAAACCTCAGGGAAATCATGATTATTATAGGACCACAGTAATTCTCCGGCATCCTCCCAATCACAAATCACTGAAGAGCTCCAAAATCATTCTAGGACCAACTAAATTGGAGTCAAAGTGGTGGTGGTAGAGTAGGATCTAACATCCTCTTACCTGTAGTTACCATTGTCTTTCAAGGTTTTAGCCCTTATTATAAGAAGGGTGCAATATGTTAAGAGTTTCTTATAATTTGAGGTAATAGAGTTTTTAACATCAATGGGATTATTTTGGAGTAGATTGTTTTAGGATTGTAAAACATTAAAGGGAAAAAGACTGAGCAGTATGGCTAAAAATTTTTTTGTAGTTATTTATTTTTTATGTAGTTGTATTTCAAAAGCTATCATTAACCATAGTTCAAGCACACTATAATTAAAATGGTAACTTAGGAAACAAAGTACACATAAACACATCATCTTAGAAAACATTTCAAAGTGCAGTATATTCAGGGGTCTCCCTGGTGGCACAAGGGGTTGGTCTCAACACCATGAACCTATCCCAGCCTGTACAGCATGTGTTTGCTCCCCGGCAGGCCAGGTAGATAACCCACATGGCCCAGCAGACCTCTCCTGTCTTGCCCGCTGCTCCCCTCAGCAGTGTATTTCAGTAGATCTACCTGCTCTGCTCCCCACTGTCTCTGGTGAATCCTCTAACCCTCCTGCACCTCTGGCCTACACCCCGGCTCTTGTATGCATAAACAAATCTTTTTTTAAAATGCAGTATTTAACTACAGAAAACTAGGATGGGAAAAGTAAGTCAATATACCTCTTAAAGAAATATCCATTTGCTTCAAACTGTTCTCTTAGCATAAATTTTCCTCTGTATTCAATGATAAGTGCGTCAGGAGGCAAGTCTTTAACTGATTTCAGAATTTTCTTATTTTTTTGTATGTGGCTCTAAAATTGAAAAAAATGTAGACATTAATTAAAACTGGTTTCAACCATGCTATTTAAGATATACACCAGAAAGTTTCAATTTATAATTTCTGGAGACATGATATATTTACCTCTACAGGAGGTTTGAAGAGCAAATTGTTGGTATTCAAATCTGACTTATTTATATCTTTTTTGTCATTCCCATTGCCTAACCTCAGCGCTATTCTTTGGGCCTCTCTCTGGACACCCTCACTATACTGGTTATTATTTGCCTCTTCATAACGATCCATCCATGCTTTGATTTTTGTCTCCCAGCCAAAATTTGAGCCATCAGATGAAGGATCAATCTCTGGAGCTGAACCCTAAAATCAGAGCAAAGTAAGAATTAGTATTTGTACTTAAAAATATTATACACACCTATGCAAAATAAATAGTAATCTACATAAAAGAACCCTGATATGTAAGTTAGAATTTTAGGGTTTCTAAGTAGATTCTAGTGAATACAAGATCACGAATGAGTAACTTACTACATGATAGACAAATATGAAGTGGAAAGCTGAAGGAAGCTGAGTTAAATTATAAGAGCATAATTCAATTTTTACTGTCATCACCTTAGCCGAATAGAGCATAGAGCAATAAAATACAAATACCCTCAACTATTAGTCATTGTCAGCTAACAGTTTAAAATTATAGCATACACATTTTTTATTGTAGAGACTACCAATATCTACTTTATAACAATAAAACATGAACTATTATACACTCAGATCTTTTTAAATAGAATAAATGTGCAGTTATATAAAGTATACACACAATATTATTAAACTTACTCTCAATACTATAATTTATCATAATTTATAACAAAAGTATACTAAAAGTATTATTCAGTGTAATTCCAAGATCTATAATCAGTTGTTAAATGATAAATTTGACATGAGAATAGTGACCCAATTTGAAATGTGAAATAACCCAAAATAATTCATAACCTAAATTTATGAGGGCCAAGGCATTCCAGCTTAAATGTTTGTCCTCTTCCATACACTCCTTCCACACACCAAGCCAGTAAAATAAGAGTAATAAATGCCAAATAGTAAAAAGTTACCTCTCTTAATATGTTATGAAACAAAAAAACCCTTTTCTTACTAGAATGCAATTTGCAGAAAGACACAATTATTACACGTTGAAAAAATTTTTTAAAACCTGGATTTCTATAAATCTTTATATGCAAACTTAGGCTGAAAATCAATGCAAATAACAAAAATTCACTGCATCTTATCATTAGCATTACTCAAATTTACAATGATTTGGTCCTCCCTGGTGGCGCAGCGGATTAAAATACAGCACTGAGAAGCTAAAGCCACTTCCACACGAGTTCGATTCCCTCCTGCCCCAGAGGTGACCACATGGCGTGGCAGACCTCTCCTGACCCACCCGCTGCTCCCCTCAGCAGTGTATTTCATTGACCTTCCTGCTCTGAACCCCACTCTGTCTCTGGTGAATCCTCTCACTGTCCCTGCACTTCTAGCCTGTACCCCAGCTCTGTATGCATAAATAAATTTTTTTTTAAATTTACAATGATTTAAGAAATTAAATTTCAGTTTAGTTGTAAAGGCAGTTTATCAATTTCTTTCAAAATTATTGAACACCCTAATAAGAAAACAGGTAGTATGTGCAATTATTTCTATATTGTGAGAAATTTCAAAATCACATACAATTTATAAAGATCCCAATTAATGTGTTAGATATGGATATGTGTACAGTAATATACCAAAATATACCACAAATCTGTCTTCTATAAAAGTAAGTTACTAAGCTATTTGATGGGAGTGGATATATTTTACAACTCATATTTTAAGTACTTACATGTTTTACTTTTTAATGAACATTTACGTAATCAAGAACAGGTTCTCATACATATTAAGGATTTCTGCAGCTGTTCTACAGGAATCTATTCAGCTTTTTAGTTTCTTCTGTTTGTGGCTCCCTGCTCCCCTCTACTAACCTGGTAATATCTTTATTATAAACAGCTCCTTTATATTTCCTAAACCTTATAAATACCTCAGAATTAGTTGTTGCAACTGTAATGATATTAAAGACAGATCCTCAAGTTAAGGAAAAGACATTTTAAAAGTTGCACAAAGGCATTAATTTTTTTAAAATTTCATTTCTTTACTAACAAATGAAAAAGTATTTCAGTTAAAGAAGCTCTTCATTATTAAGCCTGCTAAAAGAGCGACTAGATAAAATGGGAATAAAGGAAAACTTCTGAAGTATCAATTCCAACAGCTCGGTTTAATACCTTTTTCAGATCTCTTTGAGTGAGAGAAAAGCCTATAAATCAAAGATTAATATCATAAGTATTAACATTCTTGAAAATTATTAATTATGTAATATCATTGGACAGCCGGTTGTTTTCAGAAATGTGAAGTATGCTTTCTTTCCAAAAAAAAAAAAAAAAAAAAAGGGGTAACACACTCCTAGGTATCTACCCAAAAGACACAAAAATACTGATTGAAAAAGATACCTGTACCCCCATG